TTGAGTTAGGTGCAAACTAAGAAACCAAACTGATTTCTTTGGTCTTGAGCACTTTAAAGAGGTCTTCTGTTGTTTCCATGAGTGTTGATTGTGGATTCAGGAAAATGAAGTCTTTGACATCAATCTTTTCTCCATTTATCATGGTTTTATTTATCAATCCAGTTGTAAGGATTTTTGTTTTCTTTATTTTGAGGTGCAATGCATACTGAAGGCTGTGGTCTTTGATTTTCATCAGTAAGTATTTTAAGTTCTCTTAACTTACAGCAAGCAACGTTATACTATCTGCCACACTCTTCTTCATATAATCCAGCTTTTCAGATTATTTACTCAACATACAGATTGAATAAGTACGGTGAAAGTATATAGCCCCAGTGCACATATGTCCTGACTTTAAACCATTCCATTTTCCTCATTCTGTTCAAATGCCTGCCAATTGGTCTCTGTACAGGTTCATAATCATTGAGATGAAACAAATGTATGATTTGTTGAATGCAAATCTGATGCTCTTGTCTATAATCCTTCACTCAATTCACAATGAAACTTTTTTTAAAAAAACAACAAAACAAAAAGAATGTAGAATATAGAACGTGCAGTCTAACACGGTGCATAGGAGTCAAAACAATTTTGTGATAAGCAATTAGCACTGTCTAGACAACAAGGTAGATTGGCTTAAGGATTTTATTTTTCCATTTATGATGGAAGGCATATTCCACAGTGGACCCATTGTTTTTAAATGCTGGAGAATAGGTTCTGACTCATAGGGACTCTTTACAGGATTTCTTAATAGCAGTTGAGAAGAGTTGTGGGATAACATCAAGAATATCATACATGAAGAAATAAAAAAGTCATTAAGTCTATAAACAAATGTGTCTTTCTTGAGGAATTGTCATAATACAGCAGTTGGTCTCAGAACAACCATTCCATGGTCCATGATTGAAGTAATGGAAAAACATGTAAAGTACCTCTTTTTCAGACTTTAAAAACAGAGGATCCAGCTGTGATCTCTAAGAAAGAAAATGAAATGAAATAAACCAAAATTGGATAGTTCCTTATGAATATTGGCAGTAGCACTTAAATATGGAATATTGCATTAAAAATAGCAAGCACCATTGAATTTTAACAGTTTGCATGTTATTCATTTTCCAACGACTATCCACATAGGTTGGTTATGCTCAAATTTTTATTTATTAGCCTCATTCAATTAGAAATATTATCAATATTAATGCTAATATCTTTCTATTTTAAATTTACCTTTGAATTTTACTGAGTATTGTAATATCTTAGCTTTCAGCAAGCAAGTTTGTATCATCAGCATATTGCAGGTTGCTAATGAGTCTTCTTCCAATACTGATACCACATTGTTCTTTATATAATGGAGATTCTTGGATTATTTATTCAGCAAAAATGTTTAATAATTATGGTGAAACAATACTAGCCTGGCACACAATTTTCTTGATTTTAACCATTCAGTTTCCCCTTGTTCTGTTTGAATGACTACCTCATGGTCTATGTATATGTTCCTCATGTTTCAGAGTATGCATTCTCAGCAATGTATAGTTTGTCAGTCTAAAGCCTTTGCATAGTCAATAAAGCATTTTCTGATTTTCTCAACAACAACAAAAAAAAATCATTAAGAAGACAAGAAAGAAAGAAAAGGTCAAAATGGTTGTCAAATGAGACACTGAAACGTACTCTCCTGCATAGAGATGCTAAAGCAAATGGAAGAAACAAGGAGGTACAAGAGCTGAACACAAAATTTCAAAGATCAACTTGAGAAGACAAAGCCAAATATTACAACAAAATGTGCAAAGATGGAAATCAGAAAACCAAAAGGGAAGAATTTCTCGAGCTGGGGGAACTGAAGAAAAAATGCAAGCCTCAACTTTCATTACTGAAACATTCCCTGGGCAAATTATTGAATGATGCAGAAAGCATCCAGAGAAGATGGAAGGAATACACAGAGTCACTGTACCAAAAAGAAATAGTTAAAGTTCAACCGATTTAAGAGGTAGCATATGATCCAGAGCCAAGGATACAGAAGGAGGAAGTCCAAGGTGCATTGAAGGAATTTGCAAAGAACAAGACACCAGGAATTGATGGAATAAAAATTGAAATCTTTCAAGAAAGTGAGGCAGTAAAGGAGGCACTCACTCATCTCTGCCAAGAAATTTGGAAGGCAACTATCTGGCCGACTGATTGGAAGAGGTCCGTATTTGTGTCCATTCCAAAGAGAGATGACCCAATGAAATGCGGATATCATTGGACAATTTTTTTGATATGCCATGCGAATAATTTTTTTGCTAAAGATAATACAGAAATGGTTACAATCATACGTTGACAGAAAACTTCCAGAGGTTCAAGCCGGATTCAGAAGAGGCAGTGGAATGAGGAATATCACTGCTGATGTCTGATGGATCTTGGTTAAAATCAGAGAATATCAGAAAGATGTTTACCTGTGCTTTATTGACTATACAAAGGCTTTCGATTGTGTGGATCATGACAAGCTATGGACAATATTGCAAAGTATGAGTATTCTAGAACACTTAATTGTGCTCATGAGGAATCTGTATCTGGACCAAGAAGGAGTTGTTTGAACAGAGCATGGGAAAACAGAATGGTTTAAAATTAAGAAAGGTGTGCAACAAGGCTGTATTATTTCAACATACTTATTCAACCTGTATGCTGAGCAAATAATCCGAGAAGCTGGGTTCTAAGAAGAAAAGCGTGGCATCAGGATTGGAGGAAGACTCATTAACAGCCTGCGATATGCAGATGATACAACCTTGCTTGCTGAAAGTAAAGAAGACTTAAAATATTTACTGATGAAGATCAAGTACCACAGCCACAATGTAAAGAAAACAAAAATCCTCACCATTGGGCCAATAAACAACGTTCTTATCGATGGAGAAAAGATTTTTTCAAGGACTTCATTCTTCTTGGATCAACTATCAACATTCATGGAAACAGCAGTCAAGAAATCAAACTACGTATTGCATTAGGCAAATCTGCTGCACAAGACCTTTTTAAAGTGTTGAAGAGTTCAGGTAAGACTGAAGAATTCGCACTGACCGCCTAAGACAGGCAGCGTCCCTTAAACAAATAATAAATAAGGGGGAATCTGATGCAGACCGTGCAGACCCGGTCAGGAGTTCAAGTCCCTGTGGGCGCAAGCGTTGCTGACCGTCCAAACCATAGGCTCTGAGGAT